AAATGATATGGCACGGCATCACCCTTCGTGCTTTACACTCTTCCTCACATGATAATGAATATAAAATGGCACGGCATCACCGTTCGTGCTTTACACTCTTCCTCGCATGATAATAAATATAAAATGGCACGACATCACCCTTCGTGCTTTACACTCTTCCTTACCAAGCATATGAATATCAATAAAATGGCAAGGCAAGAAGTATAAATAACATCGAGGAGAGTGCTTAAACGGATATTCCAAAAACATTCCAAATCACAACGTTCCAAGTCAACAATAGGTCAACAACCCTCAAGAACCGTATTATTCAAATACTTCCACGAATCTCATAAATGATCCACAATACAAGTATAGAGTCTAGCATCTCAAGAATATCGGTTGTAGTAATCTAGTAATGATTTCGCAAAGAGATGACCGAATTAGACACATCAATGTATTCTTACAATTTCCATCAAGTTAGATCAAGTTATAACAAACTAAGTCTTGATATCTATCATTTAATATTATGTCTGTTGGCCCAAGTTCAGATGAAGTTTTGAAGATTGACAAAATAAACTCAGTCATGAACCAGGTCCATCATGTGAGACACAGTGTTGATATGCTTACACATGTGACATAAGCGTGAAGAAGATAAGTCTCAAGGATCAGCAACAATATCTTCTGAATTGATCGAAAAGATTGCATATAGGATAAGGAGTTGAAGTCTCCTTATGAAAAGAGAATTATATCCGGATCAAGGATATGGATTAGGAGTTGGAGTTGTTCTTGGACTCGAATTGTCAAAGGATCCACAATTCGAGTTCTTATCAAACTCTGATTACTAACTTTATAAATATAACGATTGTTCTCTTTTACAGGGGGTTGCACATAAGCAGAAGTTAAGCATATTTAAGAGCAAAAAGATCAAGTCTGATTTGCAAGCAACATATGCGAGATACAAGTGTGCACGTCTGAAGCTACATGAACTAAGATAGAAGAACCAGTTTCATCATTGTGTTTATTCTAAGTCTAGTTCAATTGTAGTAGGTTTTCATATTATACCTTTCAGCTTTCATAGAAGCAATTGTAATAGGTATATTGAGTATTCAAGTTAGAGTTAACTTGAAAGTGTCGCAACAGTTGAGGCTGTATGCTACACTGGGATTAGAGTTAATCCTTAGGTTTACAAAGAGTTTTGTAAATGCAGTTTTTGGCTCAGTGATTTTAGTGGAGTTTGGGAAAATCCTACTGAGTAGTAGGTCGTGGTTTTTTCACCTTTTGAGCCAGGTGTTTTCCACGTAAAAATCTCCGTGCACTTTACTTTCAGCATTTATTATTCCACAAACTGCTGTAGTTAGAACACTTAGAAGAACCAGGTTCTTCTAACGCGAAAATTAGGTACCACACAAATCACCCCCCTCTTGTGTGGTATTGACGTTTATAACATCAATGTCCTTAGTATCTAAGAGTCAAGTAAGGGATTAAGCAGAATGTCACGAAATTCTACAAACACAAATATACATAATCCACCCCCCGAGCATGATTAACCCTGGCACATACTTATACGCTCGTCACCTCATATATGTATCACCCCCGCATGTAGCAAACAATGACAATTAGGAGGAAAAATTCCCTCAACAAAGTTAGGCAAAACACTTACCTCGATCCGGCTAACTCAACACTCAACTTAGCCTTTTCCTGTACAAATTTGCCTCTGCTTGACTCAATATAGCCAATGACGACATGAATACACCACACGATGCAAGAGAAAATAATTTCAATTAATAAAGCTATAATTTTTATTCAATTCCTAAAAAGTCAAACCCCGAGCCCGCCCGATCAAAACTCGGGTCCAAAGGTAGGTCTTGACTACCCATAGCCCCACGAGTCCAAATATGTGTTTTGTTTTCAAATCGAGTCTTATTCGACTCCCAAATCTCAAATTTTCATTTTTCAAAACTTTGACGAATATAGTTGGAAATTGATCAAAGATACTTACCCAATGATTTGGCATGAAAATCCCCTCTCAAAATCGCCTCACCTCGAAGTTAGGGTTCAAAAATATGAAAAAATGAAGCAAAAACTCGGAAATCTCAGCACTTAACAGGCTGTAGATGTCGCACTTGCGAACAATACTTCGCATTTCCCTATGAACAGTGTTTTCGCAATTGCCATAATTGGTTGGCAATTGCGGATGAACAGTGTTGTTGTAATTGCCATAAAATGTTCGCAATTGCGAATGAACAGTGTCGCACCAGAAATCGGTGTTTGACTCAAAAGATATTGAAACCTTTTTGAACAAATCAATCAAAGAAAATGAAGAGGTAAATCTTAGTCAAGGCTAATAACATCCAGATCTATAGACGAATCGGAGAACAATGCACACAATGAAATAGGAATAGATCAATCTTGTTGCTATTTTACATTTCTTCATTCGTTAATCGATGAAGATCACTATTTTTTGTCTTCTATGGGAAGATTCCTCTTTCCAAGAAGATTACGGAGGAGAAATAAGAGAGAGAAAAAGCCCCCTTTCATTGAGAGACTCCTCCCCTATATATAGTTATGGAGTTCTCACTATGGGTCGATACAAACTCGCACGACGTCCGCTTTCGTCGTTACCTGAGTGTCGTTCTTTGTTATGGCGGGTATTGTGAATACGGGGTTTTGGAGCAAACCATGTCGTCCTTCACTATCTCGTCACTTGGACGGGATTTTGGTCAGGCCGACTGCAGCGATCAGATTTTGATCAATACAGTTAGTCCCTCCGTCTACCGGGGTCGCCTCTTGTCGGGCCTGGTAGGCAGATTTATGATTGTTACATATCTAAGAGAAATCTGATCACCGACCCCTTGGGTATGGTCTTTAGATTCTAGCAATATGATGGCGTCTTTTCGATATCCTCCAACCATTTCGGTCGTTCCGGAACCTGAACATCGTTTGTCTTGAAGCGTCGTTTATGATTACCTGCCATCATGACATACGTTCCTAGGAGGTTGAACCATTTTATGCCCTATCAAATTCAATTGACGACTCTTGGATTTTGTGCTCGGAAAATTTATGTCTCTTATAAATAGGACTGCACCATTCGATTTGACACGTTCTTTGCCTTCGCTTAAGAAAACTTTGCGAATCCTCTTTCCTCTCGATACTTCGGATTTTTTATTTCCTTTAGTTGGCCAGGAATTTTTGTCTTTTTTATCCTCTTGCTCTATCAAATCGATTCAAATGGCTGGCGATTCTTCTCACGCTGATCATTCTGCCACAACTCCGGCGCCGGAAAATGATGTTCCGGCCACTGGAGGAGCAGAAGTGGTAGAAGATGAGGAGGTCCCATCGGTGGCTGAAATCTTGCCTCGCCTTGGAAAAGCGTGGAGTGATTTTCACAGCCCCGCCGGGGAGGAGCCGGAACCTGCTCCGTCCGTCATAATTGAGGAGCGAATCGCAGAATTGAAGGCTAGGTGGGGGATCCCTCGCCATGTTGAAATACTGTCGGCGGTGGGGGACGACATAGTCCATTTTGACCGCCCAGAGTATTGCGCATTCTATGCCTACCCCTTTATTGTCGGATACACGCTTCCCCTCGCTCCCTTGGTGGTAGATTTCTGTTGCTTTTACGAGGTATGCCCAGCGCAACTTTCGCCGTACCTATACAAATTGTTCCTTATGCTGCTTAAGTTTGCGGAGCTTGTTGGTCGTGAGATCACTTTGGGGCATATGCTCAATATTTTCGCCCCTTAACTCATTCGTGACACGATGATTCACATGCGCCACCGAGGGTCGAAGAATCTGGTGGTGAAGATGGACGATAGAGCCATACGTCGCTTCTACGAGAATTACTTTTATGTGCGGACCGAACACCTTGTGGCGGATCCTTCGGGGTTCCCTGAGAAATGGAACTTCGCCCGTAAGTTTCTATGCCTTTTGTCGGAATAATGCTTGACCGCTTTTTATTTGGGTAATACTAAACTGTGTTTTTACAGCCGCGAAGCTACCTCCTGCACCTGTTGATGGTATTCGCAAGTGGGTGAGCGCCATCCTTCCTCATACGGCGGGTGTCCGTACATGGTCATTTTTCTATGAGAAATATGGACGCAAGCCCCTTACTGGTGAGTAATATTTGTCTTTGTTCGCCACTCCTTCTCCTTCTCTTTTTACTTGGTTTCTTATGTGATGTTTGTCGATGCCAGGAAGAGTGCGGAGAGCAAGGGCTCCTCTATTAGCTTTTCGTCAACCTGCCTCATCTGCTCGTCCTGCTTCGGCGTCTACTGCCCGCCCTTCATCGAGGGCCGCTTCAATCGAATCTACGGCTACGGCCGCACACGTGGAGGTCACCCCTCGACCCGAGAAGTCAGCCCCTATCACCTCCCTAGTGAGGAAATCTCCCCGTGCCGAGGAAAGGGAGGAGTCATCGAATAGGCGGCGAGTGGAGTTTGAAATAGCTCCTTCAGCTGTGGTATATTTAGAAGAAGACCTTCCCTTGACGGGATTTGAGGCGGGAGTTGATGCCGTTCCACCTACAGAGGCGGTGCCAGCTGTTGTGTCCGACCCATCGCCGGAAGTTCCGGCCGTGGCGGGGGGTCAGACTTCTGAAGCCGCTGCTATTACTTTGGACGGACCTTCGTCCTCGATACCTGGTCGTGCTTCTTCATCGGCCGCAAGAAGGGGAAAGGGTGTCGTTGTCGACGACTACGAATCCGAGTCTAATCTTGATCCCGATGATGTTAGGATGTTTGAAGAGGGTCTTACCCGTTCGGTGGTTCAGGCGGGAGGGTCATCCCGTATTCTAGAGATTCCGTTGGACATCAACCTTTTGGGAGATACGGAAGACCTAGTGCCGTAGTTTGACCTCTTGTGCTCCGTCGCCGAGAGCGAGGCTCTTCGGAATGTTCCCGATATTGATTTGATGCACGAAGTGGCTGCTATGGGCTTGAGGGTACGTATTGTTTTACTTTTATGTTCCTTTCGTTTTTCTTGTCGGCCTGGCCTTAGCCTGTTTTTTCGTTTTCCAGACGTACCCGATGGAGATTGAGAGTGCTCGCAGAGCTGATACTCGGGCCAAGATTTTCCTGACGATGCCGGCAAAATATCAGCGTTATCGCGATAAATGCCGCGAGATGCACGAGCGGCTCAGGGCGAACCCTAATGCTCGATCCCTCGGCGAGGAGTTGGAGAAGAGGGACCAGCAACTGATGGAGGCTATCCGTAGGAGTAGTGTACTCGAGGAGAAACTTCGTGCCAAGGATGAAGAGCTTGAGCTGGGTAAAGGGGTTGCTGCAGAGTGCGAACATCTTCAGGTGAAGTTGAGATCTATGCAATCAGAGATGGATCAGAACCTTATCAGGGTTGAGGCGATGAGCGCGGAGTGGATGGGAAAGTTGACCGAGTTGGAGAGAAAAGTTGCCTGTTTGGAAAATATCGAGAGTGCTTGGTCATCGGCTTTGGCGAGGACTGCGGCTTTAGAGAACACCATTCGCGTCCTCCAATCCGAGCAGGAATCGGAGAGGGCAACGACCACGTTGAGGGAGGCGAGGCTTGAGGAGAGCATTGGCGAGATCGACCGAGATTCATCGACCCTAGTAGACCGGGTCGCTGCTCTTGAGGCCGAAAAGGAGCAACTGTTGGCTCAAGCCGAATATTCCTCCGCCGCTGCTCCTCGTCATTTGCACGAGCTTTGGGTTCATGCTGAAGCCCAGCGGGATATCTACAAGAGTTTGTGGGAGGCGGGCAAAGTTACTGAGGCCGCGTATGAAGGAGCACGGGCGAAGGCACGAGAGGCTCATGTAAACTGTGGGTATGACTCTGCAATGCCGGAAGCTGATGAGGGTGTGGGTGATGAGGGAGGATCTCCTGGGGATGGTGTCGAGTGATAGAATTGCTATCTTTGTTTCTCTTTTTTTATTTTTTATTGTTGTTTGTTGTTCTTTTCTTGGACTCCGTTGGTTTTAGCTATAAGTAGTTTGTAGTCGTTTGCGCAGTGGCTTTGTATGAAGAGGATTTTTCATTGTTATACGCCTCCTGTACTCCTTTTCCTGTTTTTCTCTTCATAATGTTGATGCAAAGTAGATTTATGCATGCTGATCTCCTGCTTCTTACGGGACTTCAAGGTCGCTCGATTTGAGTGGAGCCTTGATGACTGCTTTAGCTGACGGGACGGTGTTTTTCACCTCGTACCAAGGTGCTAATCTATCAACGTCCGAATGGTATCGAATTCTCTTTCTAATAGTTGCCTTAGCTGTAGGGATTTTATTTTCGAGCTTATATCAAGGAATTATCCCGTCGCGAGTCCCAGTTATCTTCGGCGATGGCTTTCGGTCTTAGGGGCATTATTTCGAATTCTTGTCGAAATGTTGGTCCGTCGTCGTTCAATCTAGGTCGAATTCTTCTTTTTGGTGGTGGCCCTTGGCCTTGAGGGTGTTATTTCGATCCTTCGCTGAAACATTAACTCGTCGTTGTCGAGGTCGAACTCTTCTTTTTGGCGGAGGCCCTTGGCCTTTAAGGGTGTTATTTCGATCTTTCGTCGAAATATTAACACGTCATTATTCGATCGAAGTCGAACTCCTCTTTTTGGCGGAGGCCCTTGGCCTTAAAGGGTGTTATTTTGATCTTTCGTCGAAATATTAACCTGTCGTTGTTCGATCGAAGTCGAACTCGTCTTTTTGATGGAGGCCCTTGGCCATAAAGGGTGTTATTTCTATCTTTCGTCGAAATATTAACCTGTCGTCGTCCGATCGAAGTCGAACCCGTCTTTTTGGTGGAGGCCCTTGGCCTTAAAAGGTGTTATTTCGATCTTTCGTCAAAATATTAACCCGTCGTCGTTCGATCGAAGTCAAACTCATCTTTTTGGCGGAGGCCCTTGGCCTTAAGGGGTGTTATTTTGATCTTTTATCGAAATATTAACCCATCGTTGTTCGATTGAAGTCGAACTCGTCTTTTTGGCGGAGGCCCTTGGCCTCAAAGGGTGTTATTCTGATCTTTCGTCGAAATATTAACCCGTCGTCGTTAGATCGAAGTCGAACTCATCTTTTTGGCGGAGGCCCTTGGCCTTAAAGGGTGTTATTTCGATCTTTTGTTGAAATATTAACCCGTCGTCGTTCGATCGAAGTCGAACTCGTCTTTTTGGCGGAGGCCCTAACCATTGGGACGTTACTTTCAAGCTGGCGTCGAAGCAGTATCCCGTCGTAAGTATGGTGCTCTATTCTATTTGTTGGAGTATCGTGGATGCTAGTTTCATTCATACATTGGAGATTTGTTGGAGTATCGTGGATGCTAGTTTCATTCATACATTGGAGATTTGTTGGAGTATTGTGGACGCTAGTTTCGTTCATACATTGGAGATTTTGATTATATTCTTGTAGGAAACATGTGTTGACTTTGTATGTACAATGGAGATTTGGCTATCTATACCCAGTCTCCTCCATTACTCGGCCCGGTACCGTGTCGATGGGTTGGGTGATGATCAACACTTCAGACTTTGAGACGTCTCCCTTGTCGCCTCATCAGAAATATCACCGAGAAAACCTGATAGAGACAAAACCCGGGTGAGGGAGAAAGAGTACGAATTAGGAGGCGCCTCTTTTCAGAAGTGGAAGTATTTGAGATGGGCGACATTTTCCAAAAAAAACTCGGTCGTTCTTTCCGACAAATCGAGGGCCGTTGTCGCAACTGATTTCTTTGGGAACGCCAAAGCGGCATATTATATTTTTCCATATGAACGCTATAACTTCATACTCACGTATTTGAGTATATGCACCTGCTTCCACCCATTTAGAAGAATAGTCGGTTAAAACCCAAAAGGAAGCGTACCTTACCTCGCCCTGTTGGAAAGGGTCTGACAATATACATCCCCCACTTTATGAAGGGCCATGGCGAAGTGACTGAGTGCAGCAGTTCTCCCGCTTGGTGTATCATAGGGGCGTATTTTTGACATTGTTCGCATTTCCTGACGTAGTCTGCGGCTTCTTTTTTCATGGTGGGCCAGTAGTATCTCGCGCGGATGAGGCATCTGACGAGGGCACGGTTTCCTGTATGAGCACCTTAGTGCCCCTCGTGTACTTCTTCTAATAGCCGCCTCGTTTGGTTTGGTCCGAGGCATTTGGCCAGGGGGCCATCGAACGCCCTTTTGTAAAGGTCGTGATTCACGAGGTGTACCCGGTCGCCTGTATTCGGAGCTTTTTGGCTTCTTTCTTATCTTGAGGGAGCGTTCCTTCCTGAAAATAAGTTATGGTACGATTGCGCCATTCCCAAGTCAGATTTATGGAGTCTACCTCGACCTGGTCTATCGAGGAATGGAGGAAGGTGACCACATTTTCTTTGTTGATATTTCGGGTGGCTGCCGCCAATTTAGCGAAGCCGTCTGCTTCGGCATTCTGTGCTCTGGGTATCTGGTCGAGGCGGCATTCATCGAATTCTGGTAGTAGTTTTGTAATTTTCGACTGGTACTTCTGTAGTCTCGGTTCTTTGATTTGGAAAGTCCCAGTGACTTGATTCACTACGAGCTGGGAGTCGCAATGTAAGACGAGTCGTCGAGCGCCATATTTTAGGGCTAATTTCAATCCTGCAATCACAGCTTCATACTCGACCTCGTTGTTGGTCATTTCGGGGCATCGTATGGATTGGCAAATCACTTCGCCTGTAGAGACTTCGAGGACGAGTCCCAGTCAGTTTAATTTTGCTTGCGTCGGGGAGCGTGATATCGGAGAACAGGAAATGCTGCTGCTTAGCTCGCACTCGTTTCATACACATTGGAGTTTTCCCGTCTAACCTTTTCGTTATCCGGTTTTGAGATGTCGAATTGGCGGGTGAGACGACGAATTACGCTTTGAACTCGGGGGGGGGGGGGGGTCCTCCTTGTCGGCCTGATGTTTAAGTCCCTAGGGAGGTTTTCTCGGGACACCTTTTGAGTGAGGGAGATGAGGTATCGTTCGAAGGGTAAAGCTTCCGAGGCGTCTGGTTTTTCTGGTGGACGATATTTCAGTGGTTCCATAATAATTTCCTATTTTTTAGTTGGGACGTTTCTTTGCTTGCTCACCCGTGCTGCACTTACGTTCTTGTTAGGCAATCAACAGAAGGTGGGTTAGGGTGATATCCTCCTTATCCCGATTTGATGAGTTGGTGAACGAAGGTGGATCAGTGGCGTTACTTGCTCTACTTGGCGTTCCGATGGTTGAAGATGATGGTGTTTTCTGAGTTTGGTAACCGTATTCGGTCCTGCTTCCCTTCCTTTTTGTGCCTTGGTTCACTGCAGGCCAGGCTTGTTTTGACTGGTTCATTTGCTGCCCGGCATGTGGGAGATGATGTTGGTTGCAACTTTTGCTTGTATATAGCATCATGATCTAGGCTGGCGTGTGAGATTTACTTACCGTTCCTCTCGGCGGGTGATCGTGTTTCCGGTTTTCTATCTGGAGGAGACTAGGAGGTTTTCACTAAGAAATCCCACAGACTGCGCCAAATTGTTTGACTCAAAAGATATTGAAACCTTTTTGAACAAATCAATCAAAGAAAATGAAGAGGTAAATCTTAGTCAAGGCTAATAACATCCAGATCTATAGACGAATCGGAGAACAATGCACACAATGAAATAGGAATAGATCAATCTTGTTGCTATTTTACATTTCTTCATTCGTTAATCGATGAAGATCACTGTTTTTTGTCTTCTATGGGAAGATTCCTCTTTCTAAGAAGATTACAGAGGAGAAATAAGAGAGAGAAAAAGGCCCCCTTTCATTGAGAGACTCCCCCCTATATATAGTTATGGAATTCTCAACATTGGTCGATACAAACTCGCACGACGTCCGCTTTCGTCGTTCCCTAAGTGTCGTTCTTTGTTACGGAGGGCATTGTGAGTACGGGGTTTTGGAGCAAACCATGTCGTCCTTCGCTATCTCGTCGCTTGGACGGGATTTTGGTCAGGCCGACTGCAGCGATCATATTTTGACCAATACAACCAGCAAAAAAAAAAACTTCTCCGAAATGATCCGAAACTCATCCGGAACATCCCGGATACAAACCGTATATGAATTTCAAACATAAAACACGCTACGGACCCGCTCGCGCACTCAAAACACTGCAAAAGAGGTCGTCTTAACCCGATATTGACCATGGTCAAACTCCCAAGTTTCTTAACTTTACTAGTCTCTCAATCAATGATCCAAAAATACACCCAAGCCCCTCGGGACTCCAAACCAAAAGTGTACACCAGTCTAAAAATATCATACGAACTAGCTCGCGCGATCCAATTGCAAAAATAACATCTAGAACTACGAATTGGACACCAAATCAAATGAAATTTTCAAGAAAGCTTTGGAATCTCTATTTTTACCACCGGACGTCCGAATCACGTCAAACCGACTCCGTTTCCCACCAAATTTCACAGATAATTCAAAAATATTATATTGGACCTGTACCTGGCTCTGGAACCAAAATACGGAACCGGTATCAACAATGCCAAACATTCAATCAATTCTTAAAAACATTAGATTTTTCAGACTTTTAATTTTCAATAAAAATTCATAACTCAAGCTAGGGACCTCGGAATTCGATTTCGGGCATACCCAGATCCCATATTTCAATACGGACCCACCGGGACCGTCAAAATACGGGTCCGGGTCTATTTACTCAAAATGTTGACTGAAATCAACTAAAATTAACTTTTTAGGCAAAAATTCTTGTTTTTGTTAGTTTTTTTTTGCATATAAGCCTCCCGCGTCAATACCCGGATTGCGCATGCAAATAAAGGAAGGCTAGAATGAGGCTCTAAAGGCTTTAAAACACAGAGTTTGGCTCTAAATCACCGAGCGTATTGCAGATACTCAAAACGACCAGTCGGGTCGTTACATTAAAGTTTAGAACAAAATATATAAACTAAATT